CTCGAAGTCCAACTTCTGGAACTGGATGTGATGCAGGTTTGCGTTACACAGATGTGCCGCTCGCTTGATCTCCTCTAAGGCCGCCTTCCGGTGACTCAGAGTCGGCGAACCTATTGTCTGAAGACGTCAGGAGTGAATCAATTGAAGGCAAGGCCTGTGAATGCAATACCAAATCGATGAGACAGACGACATCCATTTTAGGGCGCGATGTGGGCGCCGATGACGTGCCTGTCGTCGGATCCGATTGCCGGGCCGTCGCCGACACCGATGGCAGTGATGAGCAGCGATGCGACGACTGATGGCATGACTGGTTGTGTCCACCGTTTGTATCACTCATCGTGTCTTAGATAATATCAATTGAAGCCAAACGTTACAACCATTGTCTCATTGGAACCACTTTGTGATGCTTTCAATGGCGATGACCACTGGTATCGCCGTAAATGCAATCAATGATTAGTAATAATATAATGATTACTAATATTTCTAATAATACTTATTATTATGATTTATAATCAAAAGTATTAATAGTTTTAAAGTTCACCAAATGATAAGAGAAATGGCTTTCAATTGATTACACTTTCAAACGATTCACACATTTGTCAATACATTGAATGAATGAAAATAGCATTCATTCACACATTTGACACCACTTTATGTGAACATTTGTATCACATTTTCATTGATTTTATAAACAAATCATTAGTTAATAACTAATTTCATGACTTAAATCACATGTGATTTGTATCGCAAACTCAAACATTAGTCATAATTGCCTATCATTTCAGTGTTGACTTGAAATGTAAAATATTTTGAATAAAGTTTTAATAATAAACAAAAACAATGAAAATATGAGAAATAGTTTTGGCTTTCATTTGATAGCATAGAGAGAGTGAGAGACGTATGAGACGTCCATAGGAGTAGTGAATCCATTGAAGTGTATGTCAAGTGTTGTATTGAAATGTATGGAAATGTATTGAAATCTATTGAATGACGCAATTGTTGTCTATTACTGTATATGTCTTACGGTTTAGTTGTAGTTAACACTAATCCACACCAATATACCACTCATTCACTCGACTGTCACCGTTATGTCCACTCACACGACCACCCATTAGAGGTAGTTGTGGGCAATGAGTAGTCCATCGGATCCAATGGATGTGTGCACCTCTTCGCCAGTGTTCGCCAATGAGATCAACTCATCTGAGATCAAATTAGCAGAGGTTTGTGGTGTGGCTGTGATGACATGTCTGTGACTAATTGATGATGTGATGGACAGGTGGTAGGGAAGGGCACGTTCGGAGTGGTGCGACGCGGCTTCTGGAGGGGACAGGAGGTGGCCGTCAAACTGATAGAGACGGAACAGGAGAAGAAGGCCTTTCAGGTGGAGCTGAGACAACTGTCCCGTGTGTCTCATCCCAATATCGTGCGTCTCTATGGCGCCACTCAAGACAATGGCTTCGTGTCGCTGGTCATGGAGTACGCAGAGGGCGGCAGTCTATACAACGGTCTGTCCTCTTGTCATATGACTTCCCCTCTAATCCACGCACTCTTTGAGCAGTTCTTCACTCGGTTCCACTCGTGCCGTACACTATGTCTCACGCCATCTCATGGGTTCTTCAGTGCGCTCGCGGTGTCTCATATCTCCACGGAATGCAACCCAAGGCTCTCATCCATAGAGACCTTAAGCCTCCAA